GAACAACACATTTGTTTGTCTTCTATTTTAAAAACATTTTCTATAAACTGCGGCGTAGAGAAAAGGGAAAAAAATATATATATGGAAAAGTGGTTTGCTTATGCAAATTTCTTAGTGGCGAATTTCGTAAAAATTCTGACCTAATTAGAGAAATTTTGTTAGCTCACATCATGTTCCACTCTTTGTCGGAATAGGTCTCAAACTACTACTTAAAGTATTATAGATCTATAGAAAATAAAGATATATCATCTATTCTTTTACCAATACTTTATGTCTACCTAAATTTGTTTTTTCAAGTCTAGCAGTGATTGTCCGATTTAAAAATGATAACTTAGATTACATGGCGTAAATTCGAAGAGGCTCGGATTCGAGTTCTGTTCGAGATTTAATTCATTTTTCTGAGTTGGTGGATTTTGGGTTGTTTGGATGATGCGAGATCCCTAAAAAATTCCAGTTCTTCAAACCCAAATGCATAACATGATATGTGTGTGTCTACGAATTTATATGTTCGTCTGATCACCCATGAAAAAATCATAATTTGAACTAATCCAAAATATTCGGTTGTTATTTTGAACAATAACAACATAATATATTCGACTTAGACCAAAAATTGACAAATCTAGAAATCAACAATTCCTATTTGAAATAGCTACTTCAATAATAAGATAAATATTCATGTGAAATTAAATATTTCTTCAAATAAATTAACAATAAAAAAATTGATTTATTTATTTTATCATATTTTCGATGTAACATTCTTAACACCTTAGTCGCATAACCATCTGAGAAGAAATCAATTACTAGAAATATCACAAATCGTATGATTATGAAGAATGAACAAATATGTAGAATAAAAATGAGAACATCGTTTAACAACAAAAACTTTTCTCAAAAGTTTGCGGAATAACATATTTTTATACAAATTCCATAGAATAACAAATGGAACAAAATCGTTTTGTAGTCATTACACCATACCATTATTCCACGAAAATTGTTAGTGAGAAGAAAAAAGTATATGACAAATCAACTACTACAGTTTTCTTTATTTAATGGTCAAGAAGAAAATCTGGAAGTGTATCTTAATTTTACGACTTTTGCTGTTGTTTCTGACGTAGCATACTTATCCAAAATATCCTTTAGTTCTGTCTTCCGTACAGTTGAACTCGCTGGAATGTAACATGCAAAGTAACTATCATCACTATATTTGGATCAAAACCGCAACCTATTATCTTAACTTAACTTAAAATTTTAAAAAATTTCTTTTTTTTTATTTTTATCTCGAAATAGTGTAAAAAAACAAAACCAAGCCCAAATCAACTTATTTACGACCCAACCACTAAAATCCGACCCGACACTTGACCCATTCCACATAAATCGGATAAAACCGCCCGCCCACGATCCCTCTCGTCCCTTCATAACTTGGAACTTCCCTCCCCACGATAAAATTGAAATCAAAAATCAGTATAACTAGGYGATAACTGGATCCGGAATAAGTTGGCTGCTAAAAATTCACAAAGACATCAAATTTCCATCCTCTTTCGTGCACCAATCCAACTGCGAACGGATATCGACTGCGAAGTAGGAGAAAGGTAAGGGTTCTTCAATCGAACCCGTAAAATCTTTTCAATTTCGTA